TGAGCAGCGGTCGACGAGGGGAGCTCGGCGACAACCGCTGATGGTTTTGGTCGACGGAAGGGGTCCGTCGACCAGGGGGTAGCTCGACGGGAGTTGTGGTCGACCAGAGGCACCTGGTGGTCGACCGGGTCGACCAGGTAACCTGCTCGACGAGTTCTGCGGAGGCACGCGAACGTCGTCAAGGATGCGATGGCGCAGGCGACTGCGGGCTGGTATCCCGGAGTCGATGTGGCTCGTCAGGCGCAGACAACAGCCGACGGATGCCCAACGAGGCAAGTCGGGCCAATCGTCTGCGCGCATCTGCGAGCGTGCGCACTGGTGTGTTCTACGGGGCGACGCTAGGCAGCCGCTCTGCTGCAGCGTTGGCACGCCGTCGACCTGCTCTATTGGCAGGTCGCCCTTCTGCAGTGCTGGTGCGGCTCCTCTACGCAACGCTGGCAGGCGGTCGACCGAGCTGTGCTGGCGGTCGACCAGGCTAGCAGCAGGGTTGCTAGGTGCCTGATGTAGTCATTGTTGTCATTGCTTGTTCAATTATTCTGTAATTCCAACTTTGCTAGTGAAAACTCTTGCCGATTTCTCCCGTGAATATGCAAGCACTAAGGAACCAAGCAAAGCTACGATTACTCCTAGTGGTTCGTGCCAACCCCCGTGGTCTAGCTCACTACTGTTGTAGAGTGACTCTCCTCATGGTGCGGTGAGCGTGGACGGCCCCGCAGATTACCTTCAGATAGGAGCCGACTTTTGCACCTACTAAGTCGTTCGTAGGCCGGCAGCCGCGATAGTCACCATGGTTGACCCCGTAGTTGATGCGGGTGTAGCGGACACCTTGGAGACACGCTTGGCTGATGCGAGGAAACGCCACGCGGATGGCGAGTACGGGACGATCCCCTTGCTGATCGTCGAGTTGGGCATCCGGTCGAAGTGGGCGACGGAACACCCTTCCCGTCCTGCATCTCCTCGACCAGTGTGCAACGAGGGTGGCGTCGACGACGAGGTCGACGGTGGTGCACGAGTCAGCGGCAGCGAAGGCACGAGGCAGAGAGGGGTGATCAAGGTTGACGGTGGTGTCGACGGAATCCAGGCGCGAGTGCAGCGGTCGACGGCGGCTGCAGGCAGCTTGCGTGTCGACGTCGATGTTCGACGTCGCTCTCCTCTACGGAGCGGTGGAGGGTACTCGGCGACGACGCATGTGACGGCAGGCGGGATTGCACCGGCGTATAGCTACTTCAAGTTCTCGCCGGACCGGATCACCGTCGCACCACTGCAAGGTCGACGGGACCTCATCACCTGGAGGGAGTCGATCGAGCCTCAGCTGGAGGTCGCCGGGCTGAAGGGCTTCGCCGACGGCACAGTGCCAATTCCGCCCGTGGACGATGTCGAGCTGCGCAGGGAGTTTCGAGCGGCTCACTTGCTCACCTTCATGGTCATCTCGAGGTGCTGCTCACCGGTGGTGCAGCTGGCGCTCAGGAGCTGTCGAGAGCGAGTCGATGATAGTCACCAGGCATGGCACTTCATCATGTTGACGTACCAGGTCAGTGACGACCTGTACATCGGGCAGCTGGAGGAGAAGATGACTCACATTCGAATGGGCGAGCAGGAGTCGGCGACGGATTACTGCAACCGTGCTCGACGGATCCTGGCTGAGATGCGGATGGCGGGCGCCGAGTACTCGACGGCGTCCTACATCACCCACATCGTCAAGGGCCTGCCGCGCAGCTACAATCTCATGAAGAGGATGATGATGGTACCCGGCACGCGTGAGTCCCTCGACGAGGACTCCATCACCAGCTACATTCTCCAGGATGAGGCGATGTAGGAGGCAGAACAGCCCACGGAGTTCCTTCCGCAGACGAGTTACGCTGCACGGACGAAGCCGAATCGTCAGCAGGAGCAGCGCGGGAAGCCGGGCGCAGGTGGTAGCGGAGGTGGGCGGTCGACGAAGGACGTCGACGAGAAGCGGTCGACGCGGGACAAGGGTCGACGAGGTGGTGGTCGACGGCGGGAGTGCTGGATCTGCGGCGACCCCGGCCATCTCTCCTTCGAGTGCCCCGACCGCGATGACAGCGACGAGGACGACAACAAGGGAGGCCGTGGTCGATCGGCCAGTCGTCGCCCCCGTCGAGATGAGAAGTCGCGCGAGGAGAAGCAAGCGTCGAAGAAGATGTCGTCGACGAAGGACGTCGACAGCTCCAGCGGAAAGATCCGAGGCGACGGGGAGTCGTCGTGCTCGATGGTCGGCGTGATGGAGCCGACGGTCTCGCTGGCGCCGGAGGTTGGCGAGGACTTCCAGGCGGTGGCGGCAGCTGTGCAGGCCAACCCGATGGTGGTGCTGCTCGACAGCGGGTGCTCTCACCACCTGATGGGGACGAAGTCGGTCTTCGTCGACATGGGGCCGAGCGACGGGGTGAAGCACGTGCGTGGATTCAACGGGGCATTGCAGCCTGTCGAAGGTCGCGGAACCGTCGCTCTGCAAGGGGAGGCCGGGAAGCAGGTCCTCATCCCCGACGTACTCTACGTTCCGGGCGTACAGGCGAACCTGCTGTCTGCTGGCCAGCTGAAGGAGAGCGGACTGCTGCTGCAGGGCGATGGTGACAAGATGCTGCTCGTCACCGCGACCGGGGAGGTGCTCGGTCGAGCACGCTATACTGGACGAATCCTCTGCACCGACCTTCGCTCCTGCTCGACGCAGTCGCAGTCGACCGAGGTGGTGGCGCTGCGGACGATCGTCTCGACGAAGACGTCGACCCCTGATCGGCTGCATGAGAGACTCGCGCACGTCAGCGTCGACATGATCAAGAGCTCGGCGAAGCATGAAGTTGCTGTTGGGCTCGACATCACGCCGTCGACCGGAGCAGATCCGTCGTGTGTCTCGTGCGTCGGAGGGAAGCTGGCACGCCACACCTTCCCCGACAAGGGCTCGGATGCCGAGGAAGCATTCGCTGTCATGCACATTGACTTGTGCGGGCCATTTCGGGTGGCTGCCAAGGATGGCAGCTTGTACTTCTTGCCGCTGAAGGATCGCCATACTCGGTCCGTGTGAGCAATGCCGGTCGCTAAGAAGAGCGACGTGCTACGGGAGTTCGAGAAGTGGTTGGTGCTTGTGGAACGACAGACGAAGAAGTCGGTGCTGTCGCTCCGATCGAGGAGGGGAGTTCCTCGGCAAGGCGTTCACCGACTTCGTCGACGGGAAGGGCATCGTCCACGACCTGACGTGCCCCTACACTCCGCAGCAGAATGGGATGGCTGAGCGGGAGATGCACACGGTCGTCGAGTCCGTGCGGACGATGCTGCTGCACATGGGCGTGCAGCATCACTGGTGGCACCTTGCTCTTCGCCAGGCGGTCTGGGTGCGCAACTGCTTGGAGCGGTCGACGACGCCGCCGGCGACGACTCCGTACCAGCTGCTGACCGGGACGAAGCCCGACCTCACGCTGGCGCGGGTGTGGGGCTGCATGGTGCAGTTCATGGTTCCTGAGCAGCAATGCGGTGGGAAGCTGGCGCCGAAGGCTTGCTGGGGGCTTCACCTGGGTGTGTCGCCGGAGAGCAAGGGCTGGGAGGTGCTCGACCTGACCGACAACAAGGTGGTCACGTCGGTCGAGGTGATCTTCTACGAGACGATGTCGCTTGAGGTGTGGAAGGCGAAGTATGGGCCAGCGTCGGAGCGGACGCAGGCGCACCCGCCAACGGACACCTCGACGGCGACGATTCCGTTGCTTGCCGAAGTCGACGAGCCTGCTGGTGAGGATGTTGTGGAGGTTCTTCCCCCTTCCCCTGTCCTTGCTCCTCCGTTCCCCGTCGCAGATCGGCCTGGGTCGGCACCTGTGTCGACCACCGACGATGAGGGGAGCCTTGAGGCGACGCCTGTGGCGCCGGCCCATGGCATCGCCGGCGGTTGACAAGGCGCCAAGCTCGTGGACCAGGATGGGAAGCGGTCGGCGACAGGGGAGCAGCAGACAGGGGAGCCGGTCGAACAGGAGGCAACAGCAGCGGTGCAGCCGACAAGGGAGCAGCAGCCGGGGCGGTCGACAGGGGAGCTGTCGAAGTCAGCAGCAGACGAGCAGCCGGACGACGAGTCGAAGCAGCAGGTCGACGACGAGGACGTCGACGAGGAAGGGGAGCAGTCGGCGGGTGAGGAGTCCACCGAAAGCGACGTGGTGGAAGTGCCAATTACGAAGCCTGAGCTGCGACGCACAGGTCGAGCTCGACGGCCACCGGAGCGGCTGAGCTTCCACGCCTGCATACCGCCAGCTGCCTTCACCACGGTGTTCGACGAGGTCGACGACGACCTGTTGTACGACGACGCCGAGGAGGATGAAGACCTGCCGGAGCTCGACCCCGACATGCATGCCGACCCCGAACACCGTTGGGACATCGCCACGATGACGGTGAAGGAGGCACTGTCGAGTTGGAAGGGCGAGGCGGTGAAGGCCGCCATGGAAGAAGAGATTCGCAGCCTCATCGGCATGGGCATTTGGGAGCTGGTCGAACGCCCACGTGGGGTGAACATCATGAAGAACCAGTGGGTGCTGACGACCAAGTACCGCATCGACGACACCGTCGAGCGCGAGAAGGCAAGGCTGGTCGTGAAGGGCTTCACGCAGGTGTACGGTGCCGACTATGACGAGACGTACTCGCCGGTGAGCAGCTACGTCACGCTGAGGATCTTCCTCAGCATCGTCGCCGTCCTCGACCTCAACCTGATGCAGCTCGACATGAAGAACGCTTTCCTGCAGAGCAAGCTCGACAGGGTGCTCTACATGTACCAGCCGGACTACTTCGATGATGGGACCGGCCGGGTGTGTAAGCTGCTGAAGAGCCTCTACGGGCTGAAGCAGTCGCCGCTGCTGTGGTACAGGGCTCTCGACGGAGTGCTGCTGGGCGCTGGCTAGAAGAAGAGTCAGGACGACGAGGCGCTCTACTTCAAGACCGGCGGCGACGGAGTGACCTGCTGGGTGCTGGTCTACGTCGACGACCTGCTCGCCGCCAGCAGCAGCATCGCGATGCTGAACGAGCTGAAGGAGCTGCTGGAGGCCGCCATCCCTCCTTCTCTCATACCCGCCTCCCCTCTCTCCTCCCCTCCGTCATACTCTCATCCCGTCCTCCCCTCTATCAGCCCATCCCTCCATCTCTCATCCCCTCCTCCTTCCTTCTCTCATCCCCTCCTCCCATCGCACGTCCCCCTTTCCCATCTCTCATACCCTCCTCCCATCTCCCATTCCCCCCCTCCTTCTCTCATACCCGCCTCTCCTGGCTCCTCCCCTCCGTCATTCTCTCATCCCGTCCTCCCCTCTATCATCACATCACTCCTTCTCTCATCCCCTCCCTCCCAAACTCATCCCCTCCCTCCCCTACGCATCCCCTCCTCCCATTGCTCCTCCCCCCTTCCCATTGCTCATCCCCTCCTCAATTCTCTCATCTCCACCCTCATTCTCTCATCCCCGCCTCCCCTCCCTCCTCCCATCTTACCTTCTCTCATTCCCTCCTCCCCTCTCTCATCCCCTCCTCCCCTCTTTCAGACCATCCTCCTTCTCTCATCCCGGCTGTCCTTCACTCGTCCCCTCCTTCCTTCTCTCATTCCCTCCTCCCATCGCTCCACCCCAGTTCCTTCTCTCATCCCCTCCTCCCATCCCACCTTCTCGCATCCCCTTCCTCCTTCTCTCATCCCCGCCTCCCCTCGATCCGCCCCTCCGTCCTTCTCTCATCCCGTCCCTCCCTCACTCAACCCCTCCGTCCCTCGCTCATCCCCTCATCGCCTCTCCCATCCCCTCCTCTCCTATCTCATCCAATCCGGAGCCTATCTCATTCCCTCCTCTCCTCTCCTCCTCCCCTGTCTCTTCCCCTCCTCCCCTCTCTCATCCCCTCATTCCCTCTATTATTTCCTCCTCACCTCGCATTCCCCCCCACTTTCCATTTCTCATCCCGTCCTCACATCTCTCATGACCTCCCCCTTTTTCTCACCCCCGTCCCCCCCTCACTCATCCCTCCCTCTCCTTTCTCATTCCCTTCTTTCCTCTTTCATCCATTATGATCCCCCTCTATCCTCTCAGGACCATGTCCTCCTCCCTCTCATCCCTCCCTCTCCACTATCATCTCGTCCTCCCCTCTCTCATCCCTCCCGTCCCTCTCTCCTCCCGTCCCCCACTCACTCATCCCTCCCTCTCCTTTCCCATCCCGGACTCTCCTCTCTCATCCCTCACTCTCATCTCTCATCCCTCACTCTCATCTCTCATCCCTCACTCTCATCTCTCATCCCGTCCTCCCCCTCTCATCCGTCCATCTATCGTCCCTTCCTCCGCTCTCACGTCGTCTCCTCTCCTCTTTCATCCCGTCCTCTCCTCTCCCATCTCGTCCTCCCCTCTCTCATCCCTCCCTCATCCCTCGCCACGCCACGATGTAAGTTCCCGAACGCCGCTTCATCGCCGCCTCGCCACCCCGCTAATGCAATCGCGTCCACATCACCGCCACGCCGATGCGCCTCCTCAACGGCTTGCAGCCTCCATGTCGCGCCTCATCACCTACGCCTCCACCGCCGCCTCGTTACCTCCAAGGACGAAACCTGATCCCTTTTCCGTTCCCATCTCTCCCAAGGTCGCAACTCCCTTTTCCCCCATGTCACACTTCCCCTTTCCCCCAAGTCGCACCTCCCCTTCCGAGCAAAGTCGCACCGCCACTATCCCCCAAGTCGCACTTCCCCTTCCACCTAACTCGCACTTCAACTTCCCCACAGGGCGCTCCTCCCCTTTACCCCAGGTCGCACCTCCTCTTCCCCCAGGTCGCTCATCTCCTTTTCCACAGGTCGCACTTCCCCTTCCCCTCCACTTCCCCTACCCCCGCGGGTCTCTCCTCCCCTTTCTCCCAGGTCGCCATTCCAAACCCCCCCAAGGTCGCTCCTCCCTGTCCCCCAGGTCGCTCCCCCCCTTTCCCCCATGTCACACTTCCCGATTTTTCCTCACAGAGCACCTTATCACTCCCTCACAATGCACTACCCCTCCCTTCACTATGACTTCCTCTCCCCTCCAATCCCTTTTATTCTCTTCGCTTCCCCCCCTTGCTTCCTCTAATTTCCCCCCTTGCTTCCTCTAATTTCCCCCCTTGCTTTCCCTACGTTCCCCCCTTGCTTCCCCTCCTTTTCCCCCCTGCTTGCCCTCACTATTTCCGTGATTCGCGTCCTCTGTTTTTCTCTTGCCTACCCACCTGTTCGCCTGTGCTTGCCCTCTCAGTGTCCTTGTCATGTCCCCCCGTGTCCTCCTCTCCCGCCGTGTCCTCCTCTCCCCCCGTGTCCTCCTCTCCCCCCGTGTCCTCCTCTCCCCCCCTTGTCCTCCTCTCTCCCCAGTGCCCTCCCTTCTCCCTTCTCTTTCCCTCATGTACCATCCTCCTTTCCCTTATTTCCCCTCTCCAACCCCTCATTTCCTACCCTCTTTCCCTCTGTTTCCCCCTTTTCTTCCCCGTTGCTCTAGGTTTTCCCCCTTGCGCCTTCATTTCCCACTCTGCTTCCCCTCTTTCCCCCCCTGCTTCCCCCCATTCCCCCACCTCCTTCCCCTCGTTCCCTCCCCCTCCCCTCCCCCCCCCCCCCCCCCCCCCCCCTGCTCTCCCTTTCCCACCATCGTGCCCACTCAGTTTCCGTGTTGCTTGTCCCTGTTTCTCCCGCCCCCCCGCCCTTCTCCCTTGTGAGCTTTTCTTTGCAGCATGGAGCAACAAAGTACAATATGATTTTATTTTAGGCTACTGTGTGCCCTCGTGCCATCCGACGGCACATTACAACACATTGATACTGTACTCAAGTTTAGGTTCATGCTGCTGTCATGACAGCCTCTTAGTATTGTGTGTAGCCCTTTTAGAACCATATCCAAGTCAGGCGACAAGATGTGAACCTTTTAGAACCATTGTATGAGATGTAAATACACATTATAAAAGCATGCAGTATCAAGAAACAAGCTCGAGCCTTTGCTCCGTTTGAATCTGCTGGCGGTCCCTTTACGTGATGTAGCTCATCTGCGCCTTTGAGGTGATGAAAGCAGATGCAAGGTGAGGCGGCACGCACGTCCATGCAGTTTGTCTGAGCCTTGCGCCTTGCTCGTCTAGGATGGTGAGGGGATGGGGCAGGGCGGAGCGAGGGGATGGGGCAGGGCGGAGTGAGGGGATGGGACAGGGCGGAGAGAGGGGATGGGACAGGGCGAAGTGAGGGGATAGGTCAGGGCGGAATGAGGGGATGGAATAGGGCGGAATGAGGGGATGGGACAGGGCGGAATGAGGGGATGGGACAGGGCAGAGAGGGGGCATAGGATAGGGCAGAGACGAGTGAGGACAAGGAAGGGAGGTGATGTTACACCCCCGGAATAGGCACTGCGGCGGAAAGGGGGAGAGGCACTGTGACGGCGTGGGGAGAGATGAGAGGCGAGGGAAGAGGCGTGGCGAGAGTGACGGGAAGGGCGCTGTGACGGCGAGGGGAGAGGCGGCGCAGCGATGGCGACAAGAGAAGCTGCGACGGCGAGTGGAGAGGCGCATCCGAAGGTAAGGAGAGAGGGGGGTGAGGGCGATGGGAGAAGCTCTGCGACGGCGAGGGGCGTGCACTGTCCGAGCGAGATATGCGCTGTTCTGGCTGACGAGAAATCCCCTGTGGCGCGTGGGGAGGGGTCCTCTCAGGTGGAGTTTGTAAGGAGGAAAGGGGGAAGGAGGCAGAGAGGGGAAAAGAGGCAAAGGGATTAAGGCAGAGAGTGGAAAGGGGGAAAAAGGGTGAAAGTGGTGGTGGCAGTGGTGGTGAGAGATTGGCAGATGAGGGACGAGATCCAGTGACTGGTTGGGCAAGGAGGCTCAAGACTGACCAGAGACGGGGATGACTCAGAAGCGGGAAGAGGGAAGGTCGGAAGGGGTCGCTGACTCGGGGAACACAGTACCAATGGAGCGAGAGTGGGGCTACGTGAGCAAGTGAGGAAGCACACTGACGGAGCACGCAAGGCAGTGACGAAGTGGGTACGACAGGGAGCACACGTACGGAGCATGCAGGGCAGAAGGAGCATGCGACGACGCCCTATCCGTCACCGATGCCAACTGGGACACCACTCTTTCCACGCTGTACTCTCCTCTCCACCCTGCTGCTGATGTGGCTGATGTTGCTGATGGACCAAGAATCTGTGAACGCCCCCTGACTGCATGCTCCCTGCTCCAGTAACGTTTGGACACGTGTGAGGAGGAGAAGCTGCAGGCGGGCCCTCTAAGCCTCCTGGCCTGACGGCTTCTTTGGCAGTCTCCTCGTCAGGCAAGCCAGAAGATGGCGATGAGGAGCAGCCTAAACGGATAAGGGGTGGGGGTGGGAGGGAGGAGGGAGGGAGGGAGGGAGGGAGGGAGGGAGGGAGGGAGGGAGGGAGGGAGGGAGGGAGGGAGGTAGGGAGGGGCCTATGTTAGGAGACCTCATAAGAATTTGCCATAAGAGAAGAAGAGTGGAAATTTGACGGTACGCAGTGTAGGCGGAAATGGAGGGGGAGAGCGAGAGGAGGGGGAGGGCGGCGTCTAGCGAGGGGAGTGGCGCGGAGAGGAAGAGCGGGTCGAGCAGGGCGTGGCGGGCGGAAAGGGGAAGTACTGGCGCCGCCCCTGGAGGGAAGAGGGGGGAGGGGAGGGGGAGGGAGGAAAAGGTGAAGGGAGCAGGGAGGGGTGAGGAACGGGAATGTGATGCGGAGGCGAGGCGGTGATCAGGAGAGGAAAGGGAAGAGAGAGGCCGAAGGAGAGAAGACGGGAGAGAGGCAGGAAGAACAAGGGGACTGGTGTGGTACAAGGGGAGCAAGATGAAACAGCTTAGGGAGAGATGGGGGAGAAGAGGGAGCAAGGGAGGTAACAGGAAAAACGAGGGCGAGAGCGAGAGAGAAAACGATGAAGAGCAAAGAAAGGTGAGTGTGAGAGAAGAAGGGGAGGAGGAGGGAAGAGAGAAACAGGAAACGGTCTATTCGTCGTACGGACGGAGCAGAAGCAACTACGAGAGGGCCACGAGGTGGTCCGATAACAGCACGCACAGCACGCGGAGAGGTGACATCCATCGGTGCCTTCGCTTCTGTCGCAGCGGCGTCTCTCACGCCCGTGAAGAGCCTTTCATCTCCGATTCCGTCTATTGCGCTGCTCGCACGATCCGCTTCTACTGTCGACGCTACAGCGCGCACGTCTGGTGCCAGCAAAGCGGTGACAGCTGTTTCAACGGCTGCAACGAGCAGCCGCGTTTAGGCTCCCCTCAAATCGTGAGAGGAGCCGAACGGCTTCCTCCTTCTCGTCAAATCGCTGCTCTTGCTGAGCTGTAAAGACATCGACGGGATCTGATCGAGTGCTACTCAACTGGGAGCTGTCGTCCAGTCGAGTCGCCATGCGAGTCGCCATCACCATCGAGCCAATTATGCTGCTCCATTGATCAATTTCCTATCGTCGCTATTATATTCAGTCGTATTTTCACAGCGCCTGAAAAGACTACCTCGCTATAGCGGGCGAGATAAACACAGGGTGGGCGCGTTTGATGGCCGTAACCCTAAGGCCCGCTTTTGGCGACGGCGTAACTGTGCTACTCTCGCTGTCTAGTTTATCGATTGCCTGCACTAATGCTCTGATGTTGGCGGTGCGGTAGAGTTGTGGTTGCTAGCTGTTACTTGCTTGCAATTTGTATGCCGTGGTTGTTATAAGCTGTGAAAGGAAAGAGTGCGCAGAACTCAATAATGCGGAAGTGATTACAACGTCTGAATGAACAACGAGGCCTAGGCACAATATAGCAAGGCTAGCTAGGCCGAGGTCGCGGGGTCGCGAGATGGTTGGGTGCAGGTTCGGGGTTGGAAAACCCGAAAGCGACGCGGTGGTGGCTCGGAAGGCGAGGTCGGCGGGCCGAGCCTGGTTTCCGAAAGTCGGGGTTGTACGCGTACAGTGTGACCCAGTAAGGAATCCGGAAAATTCCTTACACTACCCCCCCCTTTAAGAAAGGTGGTGAATATCCGAAACACCTCGGCGGGCCAGGTAAACGTCCAAAACCGGGTGTCCCAGTAGCGAATCAGCAGCGACATACGTGTCGTCCTCGCTCGTGCGGTCTTTCCAGCGAAGCAGGAATTTCACCGAGCGGCCGGCGGCAGTCACATCCACGCGATGGTTAAGAATCTTCCAAGGTTCCAGCATTGGCTCTGCCACGGGGCGAGTGGTCGGCGCGATGGTTGGTCGAGCAACAGCTGGCGACTGCGGCTGTTCGTAATGACGCAACAGGCTGACGTGGAAGGCGTCATGGATTTTCCAATCGTCGGGCAGCAGCAGCTTCGCGGTGACAGGTGTCACCATCTGGATGATACGGAATGGTCCCACGTATCGGGGCCCTGATTTCGCGGGCTGCGGCAGCCGAAGGTTCTTGGTGTCCAGAAGTACAACCTGCCCTGTGCAGAAGGGTAAATTTCGTCGGTGTTTATCCGCCTGGCGACTGGCCGTGGTATTAGCCTTGCGAATAAAATCGGCTGCTTTCGTTCGGACGGTTTGCAGTTCCGTGACAAACTGCTGCGATCTTGGTACCGGGTTGTCCACAGTCGTTGAAGAGGGTACCACGGGGTCTATCCCGTAATTCAGGAAGAAGGGTGATTGTTTAGTCGTGGCCGACGGGGCGGATTCCAGCATCGGCAGCGAATCTTCCCACTTGCGAATGTCGGGGCAGTTGGTGCGAATCAGCTGTTCCATGGTCTGATTTGTCCGTTCCGTCTGTCCGTCGGTTTGCGGGTGGTATGACGACGAAAACTGCAGGCGGGTACCGTACTGTGCCCACGTTTCCTGCCAGAACTTCGACGTAAATTTCGGATCACGATCGCTGATGATCGCCGAAGGTAACCCGTGTAGGCGTACGACGGTGGAGATGAACAGTTTGGCTGTATCTTCGGCTGTGATCGTCGTTCGGCATGGGGCGAAATGCGCCATCTTCGTTAGGCGATCGACGACGACCAACACCGAGTCGTTGCCACTTGTGCCAGCTGGGAGCCCCGTGACGAAATCCATCGTCACCTGTTGCCACGGTCGTTCGGGTGGCGCGAGGGGTTGCAGCAGTCCGGCTGGCCTTTGTCGCGACGACTTCATTGCTTGGCAGGTCGGGCAAGTTGACACGTAGCGCTGCACATCGGTCTGCATGTCCGGCCAGTAATAATTCTGCTGCAGCAGGTTCAGTGTCTTGTCGGTGCCGAAATGCCCGGAGAGGTTGGAGTCGTGAACCTCCTGCGTCAGCAGCTCCCGTAAAGGCTGGTATGCTGGTACCCAAATCCGGTTCGTACCGGTTTTTAGGTAGTATTTGCCGTGCGGTGTAGCAGCCTGTTGTTGCGGGTTCCGAAAAAACCTGTCGATCTTGTAGCCGTGGGTGAATAGTCCTGTTAGCATCGGGTTGGTGTGGGCGATTAGTACTGCCGCGTTTTGCATGGATGGTCGGGTAAGGGCGTCGGCGATGTTGTTGGCGCCCTTTTTGTACGTGATGGTGTACCGGAAATTGGATTCGAGGAAGTCCAACCACCGGATTTGTCGCGGGTTGAGTGTCGGTTGCGTGCGCTGTGAATGAAGAAAACAGGAATGAGAATGACTAAGGGAAAGTTGGGTACAAATACAAACCCTAGAAAAACTGTACCCCATATGTGCTACCCCACTATAGCCTACAGTAGCTCTGTCATATAAATCTGACATACCCCCATAGGCAAAGTGGGGGAGAACAAGGGGTCACAAGACCAGTCAAGCAAAGCAAAGCAAGCTCAGGGTGGATCACAAAGTCACCACACATTCTGAGCACAAGTTCAAGGCCACAAGGCCAGTTCACATGCAGGATTACATATATATATAAGGCTAGACAAGCAAGAGCACGTGTATATATATATGCAACAGTACAAACAAGGTCAAGGGGTGAGCAAGTGAGGCAAGGTAGGCACAAGGCCCAGCTGAGTACAGAAATGCTGATGATCACAAGGCGCAAGTGCCTTGGTGAAGATATCAGCAGTGTTGGCCTGAGAGGCCACGTACGCAAGTCGCAGCTGACCACGCTGCTGTAGCTCACGAGCAAGGAAGTAGCGGAGAGCAATGTGCTTCGTTCTGTGCTCCAATCTCTGCTCTCGACACAAGGCCAGCATGGCCTTGTTGTCTACGTACAGCACTGGAGGAGAACGAGGCGGCTCTCCGAGGTCAGTCAGCAGGTAGGTGAGCCAGCGAAGCTCCTGTGCAGCCATGGCCCCAGCGTAGATCTCAGCCTCACAACTGGAGCCGAGAACAGAAGACGAGCGGGTAGCCCGCCACGAAACAGAACCGGAACCAAGGCTGAAGGTGTAACCCTGTGACGACCGCTGCGTAGCCTGGTCGTCAGCCCAAGAAGCGTCTGCGTGCCCAGTGAGGACCACTGGACTCTGCCCTCCAAGCACAAGCCCCATGCCCGACGTACTGCACAAGTAGCGCAACACCCTCTTCGCTGCAGCCATGTGCTCCGGTCTGTGTCTCCCAGGAGCAACATAGCGTGCGAGAATGCTAAGAGGGTATGCAAGGTCAGGTCGTGTGCAGGTCATCAGGTACATGAGGCAGCCAACAAGCTCTGGGTACGGGCCACTCGACTCTACGGACTCATCCGAAGGCAGAGCTGAGAGCGAGTGGCGAGTAGGCAGAGGAGTGGCCTGAGGCGAGGAGTACGTGAAGCCGAAGCGCTGAAGGACCTGCTGCACCATGTGTGACTGAGTCAGGGTAATGGTGCGGCGTGCTCTGTCCCGGGTGATCTGCAAGCCAAGGTAGCTGCGCAGTTCACCCAGGTCTGTGCACGTGTGTCTCTTCTGCAGCTCGGACTTCACGTGGGCGAGTCCAGCAGTGTCAGCTGTGGCAAAGACCAAGTCGTCGACGTACACGAGGATGTAGAACGGCGGCAAAGAAGTGTCGGTGCGCAGAAACAGCGACGGGTCGGCAGTAGAGGGAGCAAACCCAAGAGCCGCAAGTGTAGTCCTCAGTGTGTCGTGCCACTCACGCGGTGCCTGGCGGAGACCGTAGACTGGCCGCCGGAGGCTCCACTGGGTGCCAGGAGGAAAAGACCCAGTGAAGCCAGGTGGGCGACGCAGCCAGATCTCCTCGTGCAGGCTACCCTGCAAGAAAGCAGTGCTGAAGTCAAGAGAGTGTAGCTCGTAGTCGCGGTGAGCAGCTACGTGCAGCAGTACCCGAAGAGTGGTCATCTTCGGGGTGGGAGAGAAGGTCTGAAAGTAGTCAACTCCCTGCCGCTGACTAAAGCCACGAGCCACGTAACGCGCCTTGAAGACAGGCGGAGAACCCGGCGGCCGCTTCACCCTGAAAATCCACATGCCACTGACGATGTTCGCCCCAGGCGGGGGAACCTCGTCGACGTAGGTGCCTGTGGACTTCCAGGAAGCCATCTCTGCGTCCATAGCTGCCTGCCACTGAGAGGAGTAGGGACCCTCTATCGCCTCCGCGTAAGAGCGCGGAGTCGGGATGTCAAGTGCATCCGGGTCTCCCTCAGGGGTAAGCAGTACGGACACGAGATGAGGTGAAGCAGCAGCCAAACACTGGAACTCCTCCTGCCTGTCCTCAAGGACGTCCGTGCCAAGGGCACACTCACACCCGACGGACGGAGGACAGACAGACTCAGCAACAAGACTAGCAGCGTAGTCTAGACGACAGCGAGCAGCAAAGTCGAGGAGCTCAGTAACTAGGGCAGACGCAGCAGTGGACTCAAAGGAAGGGTCAGTGACAACAGCAGCAAGGAGACGTGTGACAGTAGGACTGGCAGCACGAAGAGAGTCCGACTCCGGGTCAGGAAGAGCAGGAAGAGAGGACTCAGGAGGAGAAGGCAAAGGGGCACGCAGAGGAGCAGTGGACGGACGCAGAGACATCCGGTGCGTGCCAGGGACAGGAGGAGGACGCTGACGCGAACCACGACCACTAGTGCGAGCAGCACGGACAGGCGACGCAGGGCGGGACGCAGGCTCACGACGCTCAGCAAGACCTCCAGTAGGACCAGTGTAGGGAGAGGGAGCGGGCAGTGGGGAGGCCGGCTGTAACTGGAACTGTGACGGGACAGGCTGTGGACACTCTAAGGGAGGAGGAGGAGCAGTAGAAGGCGGGAGACCA